GTCGATAATTTTTGAAACCAAAAAAAATAACAGTAGGATGAAACCCATTGGAAAAGGAGAAGAATATAATAAAAATGAAAGGAAAAATAAATTACGGGCGATCTGACTTCGGGAAGTGGGAGGGGGGGGGTTTTAAGGGTAAAAAATGGTTTATCTCGATTTCCGGCAAAACTACAACTCCTATGGAAAAAAGTTAAATGGCAAAGTTGTAGGTAATAAAAAGATCTACAACTTTTGTAATTACAATTTTTTTACATAACCTCAAAATTTATGTGAAAAATTCAAAAAACCAAGTTTTTGGTTTTTTATTTTTATCTTTTTCAAAAAAAAAAATTTTTTACACGAAATTTGGTGAAAACTTACCTTTTTATATCCCAAATACACTGTAATTTATTTGATTTGAAATATTTATTATTTCGCCTTATTTTCACTTAATATCAAAAAAGCACCCTAATTTTCAATCGAAAATTCTCGCGTCAAAATATCAGCTTTTTTCAAAAAGTCGGTGTGCTTTTTGTTTGTTGAAATCTCTACTTTCTGATGGTGTAAAAAAATATACATTACTATGGTAAATGTTCTCAGCAAATGCAAAAAATATTATAATGAATAACGAAAAAAACTCGAATTCCAAAATTTATTTTAATCATTATGTACAATTTCATCAAAAAAATGTGATTGTTGCAATTTTTTTTAGTTAAAAAGTTTATTTATTAAATTCCAATAACATTTATGTCAGAAAATCTCATAAAATATAAAAATACATGTAAATCATACTATTGAATTTAGATACTTCATTCTGATTACGTTATTCATTATAATATTTTTTGTATTTTCTGAGAACACTTACCATAGTAATGTATATTTTTTTTACACCATCAGAAAGTAGAGAGTTCATCGAACAAAAAGCACACCAACTTTTTGAAAAAAGCTGATATTTTGACGCGAGAATTTTCGATTGAAAATTAGGGTGCTTTTTTGATATTAAGTCAAAATAAGGCGAAATAATAAATAATTTAAATCAAATAAATTACAGTGTATTTGGGACATAAAAAGTTTTCACCAAATTTCGTGGAAAAAAAATTTTTTTGAAAAAGATAAAAATAAAAAACCAAAAACTTGGTTTTTTGAATTTTTCACATAAATTTTGAGGTTATGTGAAAAAATTGTAAATACAAAAGTTGTAGATCTTTTTATTACCTACAACTTTGACATTTAACTTTTTTCCATAGGACTTGTAGTTTTGCCGGAAATCGAGATAAACCATTTTTTACCCTTAAACCCCCCCCCCTCCCACTTCCCGAACTCAGATCGCCCGTAATTTATTTTTCCTTTAATTTTCATTATATTCCCCTCCTTTTCCAATGGGTTTCATCCTACTGTTATTTTTTTTCTCTTTTTACCATTTTTAAAGGCTTCTCAGTGCTCTACATTGACACTGGCTGAAGTTAGCAACAGGTTTTTAGTCATTTGCTAAAGTTAGTTTTAAGTTAGTTGACAGTTGTGTAAAGTGCCTTTCTTGTAAAATCTCAATACAAAAATACAAAATTATTAAATACCTACACTCAGAATATTTTTAAAAAATATAACAAAAAAGTAGTTTGTCTAAATAAAGTAGTGCTGCAAAAAGATCATTTTTATAAAAATTATTTATCTACAAACGCTGATTTCAGTAATAGCATCTGCATTAATTATTAAGTAAATTTACGTTATGTTTATAACACTCTTCCAGATGCAGAAATGCATTAATAAATTTAGTTATGTTTTTTTTATTATTATTATTTGTCCAAAAAAATAGTTCTATACTGTTTACAAAAATGTATTTATAGAAATTTTGTAAATTTAACAAGAAATTAATTGTTAATTCAATAAACTATTTTCATTGTAACAATGGTCACATTTTCAACCTACTGTTGGGTGTTGGGTAGGTTTTTTTAATAATTGCAAGGCATTAAAACAAATTATTTATTATAACAAAAAAGTTAACTCATATGATATAATGTACAAAATAAAAAACATATGAACTTACTTTTTAAACAGCAAGTCTGCTTCCTTTATAGAATTTCTTTTAGAAAACGCCGAAGTTTTAATTTTCTTAGTGATCTTTTTGATATTTTTATCATGCTAGATTTTACCACACTTCACTCGCACAAGTGAAATCAATAAGATTTTAACACAGACTGTGGATTATAAAGTTATGTTCACCAAGGAGAGCGCTGGCCCTTTCCCCCTCTTTTTAAGGGAAATAACAAAAATTTTGTTACCATTGCAAAACAATAGTAAATATTAAAAAGGCCTTTAAATAGCAATAAAATATTTTTGTTATTGTTCTTTACGTAAGCTATTAACAAAGATTTTTTAACTGAAATAAAATTAATTTGAATTACAACGATAGTAATTTAAAAAAGACAAATATGCCATAGTAAAATGAACAAATTTTACTATAACAACTGCGCATTACTTTATGTAAGCGCAATTCACACACAACTATAGATTTAACAAAAACATTTTAAGTTCGACAAAGATTTAATATAAACATAAAGTATTTCTTATTGCCATAACAACTATAACTTTGTTGGATGAACATTTTTTTTTATAAAAGCTCAACATTGCTGCTTCATTATAGTAAATGAGAATTTTATTAACAGTAAAAAAAGTTTATTCTGTAAATAAAAAATCTACAACCTAAAAAATTTTCAACATTTTTTCACCTGAAGGCAAGATTGGCCCTTTGCAAATATAAATGAATATTTCAATATCAATATGATTCATTTGTTTAGTAATAAAAATTTAAATTTAGACAATTATCGGCCAAGGAAACTTTCTCTTAAGAAAAAGTGAATGTTTATGGTTATCTATAGCGTTGTTAACTTTTGCTTTTATAAACGGTATTTTTCTTTATTACGTTATGGTTTTTATGGGTTATTATATGAAGAGAAAATTTCTTTATTTTATTTTATTTGTAAAGTTTTAAAATGTTTATATTTTTTCTTCTGAACAGAATAAACTTGGCTGATACCTTTTACATCAATATTTTGTACATTCTTTATTGATCTAAATTAGGGTTTTTTAGATAAATAAATTAATTAATTATAATCTAAAAACGTCAACCATAAATTTCACTGCCAATTAAATCCAAACTAAGCTTTTTAATGACAAAAAAATATTGATCGACAATTGGAGAAAGTTCCATCAAAATGCTGAAAGGTGATAGTATACTGCATTTAAATGATCGAAATGTCAAGTACACTGCATTCTAGAGAAACTTCAAGTTTGTGTAGAGCGGGTGTTTTTATTTTGATTGAGAAATTATTTAAAACTTATTTATTTTTGGCCAAGATTAGTAAAATTTGTTTTTATTATTGTGGTATAAGTTTTCAAAATACCGTTAGTAAGTAAAAACAAAAACTTAATCTACAAACCTGTTTTTTCCAAATTTTGTTTATTTAGGGTTGTTATTTAACGCCTAAAAGTGGGCAGTTGGATTTTTTTATATAGGCACTTAAAAAAGAAAGAAAAAAAATGGCCCCTTGTGTCACAAATTTACTAACATATTAAAAAAAAATGGTAAAAAAATGTTTAATCATTTTAAAAATATTTTTTTTTGCTTCTTAATAACCCTTTTAAGGTTTTATTAGCACTAGGATTTGTTTAAAAAAAGTACATAAATTTATTATTTATAAAAAAAAATTTAGTACAAAACTAAGTAAAAGCAAAAACTATGTTCTATTTCTCAACTTTCTTACATACATAAGTATATTTAATATATTTTCTGAATTTAAAAAATTTCCATTAAAAAAGTGAATTTAAGTAATTTTCTTTTAATGCGTTAAAAATGTTTTTTCTCAATTTTTTATCTGGGCCCACCTTGTCCAATTTAACGAATAAATTAATAAAAACATTGTTTTGTTGAACTACCAAACATTTTTTTCCAGCTTCTTTGAGGCAAAATACATTGACTAGGAAAATTACTATTAAATAGGTGGAGCACATTATTTTAAATTGGCTACGTACTGTCAAAAACAGAAAAGGTGAAAGGTCGAAAAAAAATGTTTTTAAAACTTTCCTATAAGTTCATTATTATTTCAAAAATATATTGTAATTTATTTCTTTGGAATTGCCCCCAGGGTCACATAACTTTACCCTGGGTCACACAATATGTGATCCAAGAGACTTGTGACTCAGGGGAAAAATGTATGTTTTTAGAACATATCCTCTTTACTGTTTTAAAGATAAAATTTTGTATTTTTGCCCTTTGTGATATTTTATTATATTACAAAAGATCCAGATTTTTTTAACTTCTCCACCCAATTTGAATGTATTTTTACAAAAGCACGTTTGTAGAAAAACATAATAAATATTCAAAACATCAGTACCTTGGCGTGGCCTGAATCAAATATTTGAGTGGTTTTATTTTAAAATATATTCAATTTATCTTAAATTTTTCAATTTCACTACAAACTATAAAACATTAAATAATGTATTCTTCATATTTTATCACAGATTCGAATAATAGCAATTTAAAAAAAAATGATAATCTTTGTACTCACTTTTACCCGTCAGTTCTGTGTCCAATGTTAAAATTCAAAATTCCTGCGAAATATTGAAGTTTAAACGTCAAGTCCTCGTTTTAACTCAAGTGTTGGTAAAAAATTACCTACAGAGCCCGCCCTTTGCACGACAGTCATCTTTAAAACAATGCAAGCGGCGAAGTTGTGGTGAATGCACCTATAGTTCTAGTCAAAATTTCAGTACTCTCTTAATTGTAATTTATATAAGGCTATATGTGATTTGTTGATAATTAGCATCCACTAATAAAAAATATCAGTAAAATACTTAATTCCGAATTATAATCTCGTCGGCAGTTCCATGTTCGATGTATCCATCCATATAAATATATTTTAAGTTCCAGATATATATTTTAAAGTTTTGTTTGTTTTGTTTTTTTTAGTTTATTTTTTTTGACGATACTGTTTAAATTGTTGTATCTCTTTATTTTACAGATTTGGACCCGTCATGGTTTTGGACTTCGAGGTTATTGCATAGCGTATATTGTAGCTTTTGATAAACACTGGAACTTAGCGTTGGAGGATGTTACGGAAGTTTGGACAAAAAGTATAAAACATAAAGTACCTGCAAATTTAGGTAATAAAATGAAACATATAGACGAAGTACGTAAAACTGAGCAATTTTAGATGATCTGGACAAGAAGCGACGTTTTCGGGTAGAAGCTCGGCCTCCAAAAGTGGAAGTTTTAAAAACGACAAAAAAGTTTCAAGTTTGTAAAAGACATTTAGATCAAGTTATGATGAGGGGTGAACACGTTGTGACAATTTGTTTACTAAAAGACGAAGTAGATTTAGATATGTTATTGTTTTTAAAACAGTTGCATCTTAAAGGCTAACTAAATATATTTATAGACCAGTGCAGAAGCCTTTAAAAATGGTAAAAAGAGAAAAAAAATTACAGTAGGATGAAACCCATTGGAAAAGGAGGGGAATATAATAAAAATTAAAGGAAAAATAAATTACGGGCGATCTGAGTTCGGGAAGTGGGAGAGGGGGGGGTTTTAAGGGTAAAAAATGGTTTATCTCGATTTCCGGCAAAACTACAAGTCCTATGGAAAAAAGTTAAATGTTGCATTTTCTGAGAACATTTACCATAGTAATGTATATTTTTTTTACACCATCAGAAAGTAGAGATTTCAACGAACAAAAAGCACACCGAATTTTTGAAAAAAGCTGATATTTTGATGCGAGAATTTTCGATTGAAAATTAGGGTGCTTTTTTGATATTAAGTCAAAATAAGGCGAAATAATAAATATTTCAAATCAAATAAATTACAGTGTATTTCGGAAATAAAAAGGTAAGTTTTCACCAAATTTCGTGGAAAAAATTTTTTTTTTGAAAAAGATAAAAATAAAAAACCAAAAACTTGGTTTTTTGAATTTTTCACATAAATTTTGAGGTTATGTAAAAAATTGTAAATACAAAAGTTGTAGATCCTTTTATTACCTACAACTTTGCCATTTAACTTTTTTCCATAGGACTTGTAGTTTTGCCGGAAATCGAGATAAACCATTTTTTTTCTCGTATTCCTCATCCCTTTTCTGGATTCTGAAGGTAACTACTAATTCCTTGGTCTGACTTCTGAAATAGTTTGTTGCAAATATCATTAAGTGTGGTATCTCTAGTTTGTGAAGCATTTATAATGTTTAGGCCGGAACAGGATGATTTATATATATCTTATATTTTTTCGTGTGGTATGTTAAAAGTATTTTCCGAATTTATAAATTTTGTTGCCATTACTTTTTTATGTTCTCTATCATGCACTGTATTTAAATCACTGTTATTCTGCAAGATGTCCTGTGACGAAGAAATCACTATATTACTTACTCTCTAAAAATAAATTAGTCAAATATGTCATAGCGAAAAAGCAGCCACTAATAATTCTCGTCAACAGCAATTTGTATCCAGGACATTTAGCAGTCAATTCCAATGAAATTTTATTCGCTGAATCCGAAAATGTCGTCGAAAGTTATAAAAGTAGAACAGTTTTTGAAATATAATCAATTTTACATATAATATGGAATTGACTATATCTCAAAAAATGCTTAAGTTTTATAGTTTTTGACGGTCTTTTCGGATTCAGGGGACAATTTTACATAAAAATTGGCTGGTAAATGCCCGGGATACAAATAGAGTATGATATTGGATATATGTCCTATAATAGAAATTTACATTTTTTACCAACCAGTAATTGGACACTGGCCATTTTACTATTTGTTTTCAGAATTAAAATTAAAACGCATTAAAGTGACAATGTTTAAACCATGAGGAACACATTTATACCACACACTGATCTGTACACTTTTTATAATAGTTATTTATGTATTAAGGGCATAATAAGGTTTTTATGGTCCGAGGCGCTATTTCGAGCCCGAGCGCGTTAGCGCGAGGGCTAGAAAAGCGTCGTAGGACCATAAAAACCAGTTATGCCAGCAATGCATACAAAACTTTATGCACGATTATATATTATTATTTTTAATATATTATTGTTTTTAAAGACGTTTACGTTAAAGAATTTTTGTTATAATTGTCATATTATAATGTCAACTGACAGCAGTCAGTTTTAAAGTTTAAAGATGAATGAAATTGAGGAAGCAGCTGAAAAGGCAAAAAATTGCGGCCTGCTGCCGGAAAAATCAAAATCTTTATACGAAAAAACTTACTTCGAATATATCAAATGGTGTAACATTGTTGTTTTTAATTTTTGACGTTTCATTATAGCCCGCTGGGTCATAATAACGCCCGCGGGCTATAAAAAGACGTTTACGTCAAAGAATTTTTGTTATAATTGTCATATTATAATGTCATCGTGCATAAATATTTTTATTGTAATTTAAACACAGCCCTGCTCTTAACTTTTTTGTCCTATATTGGACCCAAAATAAGTAGTTCTATTTATTACCGACTGAGATATTTATAATTGTATACAGCGTCATCTAATGATTTGACTTTAAGTTAACTATTTATAGAACTCTTGTTTTTACATTATTAATGTTAATTGTCCAATACTAAGTGTCTATAACTGTCTACTTTGCCCTAAATCTTTTTTGACCAAAATAAATAAGTATTTTGAAGGATTTTGAAGCGTGGGTTTATAGTCTTATCAATATACAGTATGCCCCACCGCATTATGCACATTTATCTTAAATAACAACCATATTTTTTTTCATTCACCGACGCCTAACAACTAATCACCGATTATTTTGGGCCAGGGCCATAATCAATCACTTCAGTGTTTATCTAGTGTTAACGAAAATAAAGTTTAATGTGTAGACCGCTATTATCTTTCGTTATAGTTTTTTTAAAAACTAATAAAAATGTTAATAATTGTTATAACGTAATGTGAAAGTTTCATAAATTTTTACGATCAAATCAAAAATTAAACAAAAGTTATTCACGAATCGTAATGTGAACTAACCTTAATGGAACTATTGACAGATGTGTTTTGGTTTTGAGGTTAAGTTTTTGTTGTTGTTTACCTTAAAAATTTAATTGCGAGTTTAATTTAGTATGTGAACGATGTCTTTTTTCAATTTTTCCACGAGTGGAACAATATTTTCATTACTTAACTAGTGTAACAATAGCTTACTTTGTTCATTGTTTTCGAACGTGAGTAAATGACAAATATTTTTTTGTATTTTGCGTAGGTACGTAAAATTTTTATTTATTTATTTATTTATTACAAAAAATACCTTGAAACCCGCTAATTTTATGTGTTTGGCATTATATTAGTGCGTGTAGCGTCACAAATTTCAACGCGTACTTCGTTTTACTCGTATTTCCGTATTCATATTATTATTATTTTCAAAGCCATGCGGGTACTAGCAGTATTTTATCAATTTCAATGAAAGACAAGTTAAGTAAACAAAATAGATAAATTTTTTAATATATCGGACTTTGGCGTTGCTACTTTAATGTATCATTCAAGGTAAAATTGTAATCATAGATGCATTGCATACAGACAATAACTATTGTAACGATGGTTTTTTACTATACTTATATCTAAATTATTATATAAATAAATAAAATAAAACAAACATTTTAAATTTTAACATTCCTTTTTTAATTAAAAACATAATTAATGTCAAATTTAATCAAATTAGAAAATGTCATCATTTTCAAAATTCTTTTACATTTAAAAAGAAGAAAAAGTAAAAACAAAAACATAATCCACAAAACTTTTTTTTTCAATTTTTTTTTGTTTCGGGGTGTTATTTAACAGTGTAAATTAACACCTAAAAGTGGGCAGTTGAATTTTTTTAAATTAGCACTTAAAAAAGAAAAAAAATGCTCCCCTGGGTCACAAATTTACTACCATAGATAATATAATAAATATACTGTTCCAGACCGGATCAGTCAATTTTTCAAACAGTTTCTGAAATATCTGTGTTTTCTAAATTTGAATGCAAGGGAAGTGACGAGTATGCCAGGGTACTAAGTAAATACATAATTTATTGGAAAATATAAGATTTATTCCAACTTTGAGCATATTATACATTAAATATCTTAAAATCAAATAATACCACACATTAGTGGCGGCTGGTGGATTTTGGGTAAACCGATATCTCAATTATTAGATATGGGACCCACACCAAATTTATATGAGTTTATAATGACATTAAATAAACAAGTTCTGCGCAAGCAGAATTTAAATTGAAGTTTGCGAAAAAAAAGATAACCGAAACATCGAACATGGAACTGACGACACGGTACTGATGAATGGGATACAAATTTGAGATTATAATTCGGAATTAAGTATTTTACTGATATTTTTTATTACTGCACTCTTAGAAAAGACCTGGTATTTGCAATGAAAATTTAGTTCCCAGAACCAATTTTATTAGTGAAAATAGGCACAACAAAAAAATATGTTGTGGGAACTAATACAAATTTGTTTTTACAGTTTGTTGTCGGAACAGCCAATATTGGTAGCTCCAACCAACAAGTTTTAGTGCATCGAAATTAGTTTTTTTTTCATACAAATAATTGATATTTAATGCAATCACATTAGTCTGTCATTTTAGCAGCGTCTAAGTTGTAACAACTGCACTTGCTATTTATCGCAACAAACATTGTATCATGCAGGAATTTATTTTTTAATTGAAATTACATGAAAAAAGGTACATTTAAAGATCTTAATAGTTGATATAATATAAATTTGTTTTGTACTGTAACTAAGTTATATTTAATATTAAATGCTTGCATTAGTAGCAACAACAAATGGGTATTATTCCACAGTACATTCCTGCTTAGTAAATATATCACTTTTTGTGTAAATATTATAAAAAATAGAGAAAGGAAATTCATGCCCGTTCGATTTATAAATATTTATTATAAATTAAAAAATAACAATATAACTGAAAACACCAAATTTTGGTTTAAACATTATAACAAAAATTAATAATTACTATAAGAAAACATTTATAAATATTTTAACAATAAAACAAAAACGATTCTTTGGTAAATATACACAGATAGGTAGGTACATTAAGATGAAAGTTGACTATACTTCTTCAGTAAACCGTGATGTTTACGTGAAGTGCAAGCCTTTGTTTAACAACTTAACAATGATTCTTAGGTACTTACAACGTAACATACTTGCATTATAACAGGGGTAAGCATTCGATAAATTTTGAGTGTGAGTGCCTATAGTATAGGCCCTATACCAAAAATGCGACTTGAGCTGTAACAAAACAAAACAAAAAAATTCTCGAAATTCCGACGTGATGGAGACTTTTGGTGGGCACCATTGGATTCAGGAGGCCATTTTCAGTCGGAATGGCATTTTCACATTTTTGGATTTTTTTTTCGGACCCCAAAACTACAATAGTGTAA